CCCAAATTGAATTACTTCCAATGGAAATTAAACAAATGCTGGTCCAAAATGTGATTTCCCTATATAAACTATAGAAAAGTTTACCCCTTCCCCAGGGGGAAACGTGAGACCCCAGGGTCATGAAATTCACAATTTCGGTAAAGCACCTTAAGACTCTTCCATCTATGAAGAGCATTTGATTCTACCATATCTGGGTCTTGAGAAGAAGATTTATGAAATTTCAGTCAATTCAACCCTTTTTTGCCCCACCCATCAGCCCCTGGGAGCTTGGGACTAAACCGGCCCCTATTATTGTTGACCTTTGTCCATGGAAGGTCCCTGCAAAATTTCATTGAAATTGGTTCGGGGGTTTTGGAGAAGAAGATTTTTGGAATTTTAGTCAATTTGCCCCTTTTTGGCCCCGCCCCTCAGGCCCCTGGGGCCTTGGGACTAAACCGGCCCCTATTATTGTTGACCTTTGACCATGGAAGGTCCCTGCAAAATTTCATTGAAATTGGTTTAGGGGTTTTGGAGAAGAAGCCGAAAATGTAAATTGTTTACGGACACACGACGGACGACGACGGACTAAGGGCGATCACAATAGGTCACTTGAGACTTTGTCTCAGGTGACCTAAAAAGCTTGATAGCCCTTCATCCAAGCATGCTACTGTCCAAATATAAACATTCTGGGCCACATGGTTATTCAGAAGAAATCATTGAAAGATTTTAAACATATTTGACCCCTGTGACCTTGAATATAAGTGAAGGTCATTCACTTTAACAAACTTGGTAAGCCTTTATCGTAGCATGCTTTTGGCCAAATAGCAACATTCTGGACCTCATGGTTATTCAGAAGAAGTTGTTTAAAGATTTTAAACATATTTGAATCAGGTGACTTTGAAAGTTGGTAGCCCTTAATGAATCGTCTGCTGGATTACCGAACTACTTGGTAGTAAGTACGTAAAACCTATCAATCAATCAAAAAAATCATCACATTTTCTGAATCGCGGAAGTTCGATTCAAATTGAAGTAATGACAACTGAAAAATGTCATGCCCCCCCCCCCCTGTTAATGTGGAAGGGACTATAATTTCTTTTAATCATTAATTTTTCAATAGTCACCAAACTATTTTTGTTGGGCCAGTGACTACCTCACTTTTGACAACTTTTGGTTGCCCAAGCAAGTTTTTAATCGCCATTGGCGAGCAGGCGACCATCCATTTCAGGCACTGCTGCACAACAAGGAAACAAGGGGAACCTACATATAAAATTTGAGAAAGATCCCTCTCGTACTTTCCGAGAAATAGCGATAACAAACTTTGATGATGGTGGGCTAAAAAATATTGAAAAATACGACGGACGATGCGACACGGCATAAGCTTAGAAAGTGAGTAAGCACTGTCAAAGAAACACGTTATATGCGAACTATACAACTGTGCATGCATAACCAGACAGATGAAAGTCAGTAAGAAAGCAAATAATGCTGGACCATGTTATGCACATATATATCTGATCAGGTAGTTAAATGAAAAATTACTGATAATTGTGAGACTTGGATGGACATGTTCTCTCTCCCACTAAAAGATTCTTAAAATTGGTGTGTATATTTATTTGTTCCAAATGAAAGATGTATATTATTCTCTGGATAGCATACAGAACAAGAGGCCCAGATAGCCTGTATCGCTCCTCTGGATATGTTTAAAGAACTTGATATGAGGTTACGATATAGCACTCCATGGTAGGTACTCTAAGTACATATGAAATGATATGGCTAGAATAAACTTCAAATGTCAAAATCAAAAATGGCAGCCTGGTGGCCATCTTGTTTTGATGAATACACCCTTAGAGTAACAGGCACTACTAAACAACTTGATGGAGACAAAATTGGGATAAAATCCCTGAATCCCTATGGAAGAAAATGGATTTCCAAGGTTTTACCTCTATTTCCCCTATTGGACCCCACCCCTCTGCCCTGGGGGTGACACCCACTGTTTATACAAAATTGAGTGCTCTTGACCCATTTAGGATCCTCCAGACCAAATTGGGATGAAATCAATTAATCTCTATAGTAGGAGAAGGATTTTAAAGATTTATATAATCGGACCCCCCTATTGTTCAAATAAATTACCTTCACCCATATTCAAGGTCACAGGGGTCAAATATGTTAAAATCTTTCAACAACTTCTTCTGAATAACCAAGAGGCCTAGGATAATGATATTTAGCCAGTAACATGCTTGGATAAACGTCTACCAGTTTGTTCAAATGAATGACCTTGACGTATTCCAAGGTCACAGGGGTCTTATATGTTAAAAACCCTTAAACAACTTCTTCTCAATAACCCAAAAACCTAGGATGATGATATTTGGCCAGTAGCATGATGGGATAAAGGGCTACCAAGGTTATTCAAATGAATGACCTTCACCCATATTCAAGGTCACAGTGGTCAATATATGTTTAAATCTTTAAATGAATTGTTCTAAATAACCAAAAGGTCCAGGGTAATGATGTTTTGCCAAAAGCATGCTGGGTTGGAAGATTATAAACTCTGTTCAACCTAATGTACTTGTATTCAAGGTCACAGGCATCATATGTTTAAATTTTTTAATGGGTTCTTATCAATCAAACACTGATTTTCTGCCTGTAGCTGTATTTTAGTCAACTTTTAAGATTACATGTGTGAGATTAATACCAGGTGAGCGATTCAAGCCCATTGGGCCTCTTGTTTTAATAATTGCTTTGTGTTGTTTGTATATAGCGGTTCATCATAATTTCTAGAGATAAATTGAATAATAACAAGAGGCCTATGGGCCTTAACGGTCACCTGAGTCCTACAGTATTTATTTTTGTTGTTGAAATATGTACCAATTTGAGTAAAAAATAGTTAAGTATAATGTTAACTTAACTTTGTCAGGACCATGAGCTGATCATTCCTAGACCGATTTTAAGTGAGATCGGCCTATTAGAACTTGTTTTTAAGTTTGAAATAGGTATTTACAAAATAGCGGCCATGGCAGCCAAATTGTATTTCTGATTGACCCGAAAAATAACAACACTTTGTCAGGACCATGATTCGATCATTCCTACAAAGTTTCAGTTCAATCGGCCAAGTAGAACTTTACTTTAAGTTTGAAATAGTTTTTCAAAATGGCGGCCGTGGTGGCCATATTGGATTTCTGATCGACCCGAAAAATAACAACACTTTGTCAGGACCATGAGTCGATCATTCCTACAAAGTTTCAGTTCAATCGGCCTAGCAGAACTTGACTTTAAGTTTGAAATAGTTTTTCAAAATGGCGGCCGTGGCGGCCATATTGGATTTCTGATCGACCCGAAAAATAACAACACTTTGTCAGGACCATGAGTCGATCATTCCTACAAACTTTCAGTTCAATCGGCCCAGCAGAACTTGACTTTAAGTTTGAAATAGGTTTTCAAAATGGCGGCCGTGGCGGCCATATTGGATTTCTGATCGACCCGAAAAATAACAACACTTTGTCAGGACCATGAGGCGATCATTCCTACCAACTTTCAGTTCAATCGGCCCAGCAGAACTTGACTTTAAGTTTGAAATGTAAAATGTTAACGGACGACGGACGACGGACGACGACGGACGAAAACGGATGGCAATAGGTCACTTGAGCTAAAGCTCAGGTGACCTAAAAAGTATAATATTTACAGCCACTAGATGAATGAATAATGTAAAAATACAGATTCATTTAGATAGCATCTGCATGTAATTTCAGACAGTTGCATACAGCATATCAATGATGCTCACAAAGTAAAAATAAATTCCAACTGAAAATTGACAAAATAAACCCAAGTGTTTTTTACCTATATAAACTATAGTAAACTTTACCCCCTCCTCAAAACTATAGTAAACTTTACCCCCTCCTCAAGGGAGAACGGATGGACCGGGGGTAGTGAAACTCGGTGGGTATGGCCCCCCTGAGGCCGAAGGGGCGGGCCCGATAGGGGAAATAGAGGTAAAACCTTTAAAATCCTTCTTCTACTGAAGGGATTAAGGGATTTTACCCTTATTAAGTCTGGAGCATCTTTGGGCCAAAGGAACTCAATTTTGTATAAACAGTAGGTGTGGCCATCCAGTGGGAGCAGAGGGGAAGGACACAATAAGGGAAATCGAGGTAAACCTTTAAAAGCCTTCTTTTTTTAATAAACACCGAGTACATAATGGTTATTCAGAAGAAGTTGTTTAAAGGTTTTTTCATTTGGACAAACTGGGTAGTTCTTTATTCTAGCAAGCTGCTGGCCAAATATCAGTACCCTAGGGCTTTCGGTTATTGAGAAGAAGTTGTTTCAATTTTTTTTGAGACATTTGATCCCTGTGACCTTGAAAGTGGGTCAAGGTCATTCATTTGAACAAACGTGGTAGCCCTTCATCCCAGCATGCTACATGCCTAATATCAGTACCCTGGGCCTTTCGGTTATTGAGAAGAAGTTGTTTGAAGATTTTAAGACATTTGACTCCTGTGACTTTGAAAGTGGGTCAAGGTCATTCATTTGAACAAAGTTGGTAGTCCTTCATCCCAGCATGCAACAGGCCCAATTTCAGTACCCTGTGCCTTTTGGTTATTAAGGAGAAGTTGTTTTAACATTTTATGACATTTGACTCCTGTGACTTTGAAAGAGGGTCAAGGTCATTCATTTGAACAAACTTGGTAGCCCTTCATCCAAGCATGCTACAGGCCAAATATCAGTACCCTGGGCCATTTGGTTATTGAGAAGAAGTCGTTTAAAGTAAAATATTGACGCTGGACGCCGCACAACGGCATACGCTCACTTGGCCGTTTGGGCCAGGTGAGCTAAAAAGGGTCAGAATGAAGAAAAAATGTATCTAGATGCACAACTTCAGTTGGTAGAAATTGGTCTATTACTTTAGAAAGAGTTGTCCGGATTTTTTTTTTTTATGGACAAGCTGATTCCAGTATACCTCCCTTACTCCGTTGCGGCGGGGTATAAAAAGTAAGACAGTCATAAATGTAAAACTGAATATCAGGTAGTATTAAAGAGTTGTTTTATTTCTATATAAATATACATATATACATGTATAGCTAGTTAAGGTAAAAAAAAAAATGCGAAATTATTTAGATACATAACATGTTCAATTTCCCCGTCTAATGTATTTTACAATTTTGGTTTTATTGCTTTTGACCACAGAACCTTCCTGCAAAATTTTATTGAAATCTGTTCTGTGTATTTCGGGAAGAAGTCAAAATATGATTTGATACAGAAAGACTTTGACCTAAAGACTTGGGATGGATGCTGCACCATGCAGAAATATTCATAAGCTCACTTAGCCCTATTGGGTAGGTTAGCTAAAAATCCATAAATTGAGAACTCTTATTGTTCAAAGCACATTAAAATATGTTTTGCTTAGTAACATAATAAAGTTTGGTCCAGATATGTAACTTTGTGAAAATGATTCAAAACAATGACTGATTTTGTAGTTTGTACTACAGGTACTTATGAAAATGCTAAAATCTTTCTCCAGCTCTACAACATTGACAAATGATGTTATGAAAAATAAATGATAGTAAATTTTTTGCAACCTTCTACATCAGTGAAAAAAGTTCTTGAAAACTAGCATCTTCAAAGGTTCAAAGTTGTATTTACAAGATTCTGTTTGACTGAACATATTAGTAGGGAACTAACGTTTGTAATCATTTCTTCCCTCTTGACAAGTTCATTTTCACTCATGATCAAAAGCTCAGAAAACGATAAATGTCAAAAGACAATAACAATGATAAGATCATGTAACTATTTTGTTACGGAGGTATTCCAACAGTGCCAGGGTTCCTTTAGCTAGTACTGCTGGTCTAGGGTTTCGGAAGGAATTCCCACCAATAAGCAAACTCCTGCAAATAAAAACATGAATGCAAAGAATTAAGGATATATGCTTCGATCATTACACAACATATATGTGAGATTTAAGCAGAATTTCCCATCTTTTCAAAATATAAATATCAACTATTTCTAAAATTTCCAGAAGCCATGTATGTATTCTGATGTACATGTGCAGGTAAAATAGCTTCAAAAATAAAAAAAAATCAATTGTTAGTCAAAAGACAATCCTTAGGTCACAGTGACCTACTTTTTTACTTGACATTTTGCCATCCTCAGAGGTACTTGTATACCAAATCTGGTTACTCCAGGTGAAATTGTATAGAAGTTATGCCCTGGATAACTGTTTAAAAAGTCAAAGGTCAAATCATATGCCACAGTGACATAATTCTTGTACTCTACAATCTGTCATCCCAAGAAGTACTTCCATACCACATCAAGTGTTCAAATATCCAATGATTCCAATTAAATGCAGGTTTACCGGCTTACTTCATGAAAGAACAAATTTGATATCTAAAATCCAAGATGGCTTCTTGTTGGTCATCATATCTTCCCAATCAATTCTAAAATGAACATGCACAGTTATGGATCAAGGAGAACCTATTTAAGAAATCTGGGAAAGATCATTCAAGTTCTTGAGAAAAAGTGAAAATATACTTGAACTGTCAAAATAGTTCCAAAATGAAACAATGCACAACTAATCACCAAGGGGAACCTACACTGTATATATAAAATTCTAGAACGATCTGTCGAGTACTTCTTAACCCTTTAGTGTTTAAATTACTAGTACTAATAGATACTGGATGTATTCCTATTAATTAGTAATTAATAGATGGAATTGCATCATTCTCAATGTTTATACCATTGTTTTTGTATTTTTCATCCAACTTTGGGATGACATTGTATATACCTTCAGCTTTCTAAATATGACTTTGTGATGTTGTATTTTATTTGTACAGGTTACCTATTACAGTTGAAAACATGTTATTAAGGTGAAAATATAAAGGAAACAAGAATTTAACATGAAAGTCTTTGTTGTAAAAATACATCATATTAATAACATTTCATCAGCACACATTAATATTGGATATACATCCAGACAGGAACTTTTACCTAGGTGGTACAGGTAAGCCCATGTAGTACACACATGTAAAAGGGTAACTAATTGGAATGTAATTTTACATTGATTCAACAAGTATTTATAAGTATTTCTAATCATTATTTTGATAACTTTGGCAATAAGGCTAATTTAGAGCAACAGAAAACTTAAATGTATATCTTAGCTGGTTGCCGGAGCATTTCCAGTTCACCTTGAGTTTACCACACCTGTGCTTACAAGTTTCTAGGTGCACACGGGTAATATCTCTTATTTTTAGCACTTTCTCAATTTTTTCTCTCTCACAAATGTCATTGTTCTACCACACAGTATATCACTGAGACTCAATAGCACAGTTTTTCTGTCTAATTTGCCATATTTTTGTCATGACATGATGTGAAGCATCCAACTTTATACAATGGGATATCGCAGAACCTACAGCGAAACGCAGCCTGTTTCTACTGGGCTTCCTTTTAGTGTTTTGCCGCCTTGGCTGGTGCATTTTCTACACTTCTTTTTTCTACCTTAAATTTTTACAAGTTCATGATGCCTTTTTGTCTGTAGAGCTATTTCCTTGTTGTGTTGTTTTGATTTTCTCCCTACACTGTGCATTCTTGATGTGAATCCTCCTTTCAGCTTGTCCGCTACATCCATTCGAAAAGTCGATGTACCACATAATGTATCTCCACCATTTAGTACTAGGATGTTCAACAGGATAATAATTGGCAAGTTGATCAACCCTCCCATATATCCCATATAGCTGGTAGCAATAAGGTTGCCCTTCTGCATCTGTTCAAGTTCTCCATGATGTTTCAGTTTTTCTTTTTTGATAGAGTCAGGCAATCCTTTCCTATTAGCAACAATTGTGCCACCTATATAGGTATCGCCCCAAGTGCTCAACAAGATTCACCGATGTAAAGAAGTGATCGAAGTACAAATGACGATTCTGATTGTGATATGGCTTGGACAGAGTCCAGATAAGATCATAACCAAGGCCGTACTGCCATGTTGATGATTTCAATCTTTGTTCCCTGTGTAGACCTCGAACCCACAACAATATGCACTCTTGGATTCACATATTTGCCAAACTTTGATTCCCCATTTGGTTGGTTTTGCAGGCATATACTGGCAAAAGTGTAGACGTCCCTTGAACCCAATCATGCCTTCATCAATTGAAAGATTTTTTCGAAGTTTATAGTTCTCTTTGAATTTGGGGAAAATTGTATCAATCAATGTCCTCAGCTTGATAATATTGATTGCCACATATGCCCTTACCTCCGCTACATTGGCCAGAGGGCCTATATCGCTCACCTTGATATTTTAGCAGTCATAGCAAAATATTCTCATTAAACATTATACTGTACTACAAATATTTCAATCGCCAACTTTGTCGGCTCCATCCGTTGAAGCTCAAGCCAAATATTATTATATGATTCTATTATTTTCCGTTCTTCAAGAAGTTGTTTGAAATGTTTGATATATTTGTCCCTGTGACCTTGTAAGTAGGTCAAAGTAATTTTCCTTCTCAAACTTTGTTGACTCTATCCCAAGAAGCTACCATCCAAATCTTATGAATCCATGCCTTTTGGTGTTTTTAGAACAAGTGTAGTTGCATGACCTCTGTGACATTGAAAGTAGGTTGAGGTCATTTTCATTCTCAAACATTGATGAGCTCTATCCCAAGAAGTCACCAGCCAAATATTATGAAATTATTTCTTTCAATAATTCAGAAGTCGTTTGATGTTTTTGACATGTTTTACCCCTGTAACATTGAAAGTAGGTCAAGGTCATTTTCATTTGCACATTTTGTTGTGCTGAATCCAAATAAGTTACCAGCCAAATATTAAGATTCTTAACCTTTCAATTATTCAGAAGTCATTTGAAATGTTTGACATATTTGACCCCTGTGACCTTGAAAGAAGGTCAAGGTAATTTTCATTTGCACATTTTGTTGTGCTCAATCCAAATAAGTTACCAGCTAAATATTAAGATTCTTAACCTTTCAATTCTTCAGAAGTCATTTGAAAAGTTTGACATATTTGACCCCTGTGACCTTGAAAGAAGGTCGAGGTAATTTTCACTCACAAACTTTGTCGGGCTCCACCAAAGAAGCTACCAGCAAAATATTAAGATTCTATACCTTTCAATTGTTCAGAAGAAGTTGTTTGAAGTGTTTGACGTATTTGACCCCTGTGACCTTGAAAGCAGGTCAAAGTAATTTTCATTCTCAAACTTTGTCATGCTCAATCGCAAGAAGCTACCATTCAAATAGGAAGATTCTATACCTTTCAGTTCTTATAAGAAGAAGTCATTTGAGACCTTTGAACCCTGTGACATTGCAAGTAGGTCAAGGTAATTTTCATTCTCAAACTTTGTCGGGCTCTATCCCAGGAAACCACCAGCCAAAATATTATGAATCTATACCTTTCAGTTCTTCAGAAGAAGTCGTTTTAAGTTTTTGACACATTTGACCCCTGTGACCTTGAAAGTAGGTGAATGTCATTTTCGATTTAAAACTTTGTCGAATTCTTACCAACAAAGCTTTCAGCCAAATATCATGATTCTAGGCCTGTCCATTCTTCATAAGAAGTTGTTTTATGGAAAAATTGACAGACGATGGACGACAGATGCTGCGCCATGACATAAGCTCACTTACCCTTTGGGCAGGTGAACTAAAAAGTAATCAAGTGGCTTGGCATCTTTATCAAGTCCATGGCTTACCCCCATTTCTTCCTTAAACTCATCCACAGTTACATCATTCAGGCGATCTGACCACTTATGGTTGAACTGGTTCAAACCAGGATCGCTGTCCTCAATGACGACATCACTTGTTTCCTCTCTTTTTCTTCAGCTGTTCTGACATCTTCGCCGACAAAACCATAAAAATATTGTCGTCGTCAGAGTCTGATGCTTCCCCTATTGTTTTTCACTGACTAAATTGGAAAGGTATCAACTTTTTCTAAAAACACCTCTATAAATTTATAACAAATTGTTGAAATTGCTTCACTTGGCGTCCATATTGAAAGAAAGTAGTGTTAACTCAGAATCCCAAAGGGTTAGAGCGATATAGCAATACCTGGCAACAGTAAATAAGCACTCACAGGGCGGTTTGGGGCGGTTTGAACACATACTGCAGGGGTGATTTCAGGCGGTTTGGGCATGAAAGGGTTAAGAAATATTATTATTTCTCATCAATTTTACAGCGTGTCTGATTGGTTTAAACACATCACATGACATGATTATCTAACATCGATTCTCCCTCACGTGATCCATTTTCCCTGTCGAGTATCCCTCTCGGAACCCCTCACACATTATCAGACGAGTTGTCTGTCTTTGTTAGACTCTCTAATGCCCGATGTGTTCCGGACGACACCATCAACAATGGCTGCGAACGGGAGATTCCACCTTCCAATAGCCGAAGAACTTGAAGGACTGTTATTGTTGTTTAATTTGATATAAATTCAAAACACTGACAGTGATAATATTTTGTAGTATATATTTTACCAGACCTAATGAATTTAGGGCGAACAGGTCAGTCACAACAGTGACAACACAAGGGCTCGTTACATTGCCTAATGTTGATGTAGTTTTGTTATACAATTGTATGGATATAACACAGACTCCACAGATGGAATTTCGGAATAATAAAACAGTTATTGCCCTGGTGTGAGGGAGACCTGAAGAGTTGTTCCCCCTCGACAAATCATGTTTTCCTTGGGCTTCGCCCTCGGGAAACATGATTTTTCTCGGGGAAATAACTCTTCAGGTCTCGCTCACACCAGGGCAATAAGTGTATAGTGAAAATAGACTTTAACTCATTCACCCCTGAGATTTTATAATGAACTATTCCATCCTTTGAGTAAGAGGAGTTCAAATGAGTCTTCAGGGGTGAATGAGTTAACTCTCAAAGTCAAAGATAGCCACCTGGACTGGTGAATATGCACAACTAGAGACCAAGAAAAATCTTAAATCGAGATTTACGAAAGATCCCTTTAGTTTAGTACTTAAAGAGAAATAGTGATAATTACACAAACTTGAACCCTCAATATCAAATAAGCTGCCTTTTTGTTTTTCCAATAAGGCCTACAGTTAATCATGCAGAACTTTTGACCAAGGGGAACACATAAAAGAAAGAGAAAGATCTGAAGAGTGCTTCTTGAGAAATAATAACAACAAACTTGGACTCTCAAAATCAAAGATGGGTGTCTGGGGGCCATCTTGTTTTAACAAAAAGATTCGTTCATCACTTTTTGAGAAAAAGCAATAACAAGAATTGTTTAATGACAGAAAACGGACCAAGGACAAAGGGTGATTTGATCAGCAATTTTAAAGAAAATCTTACTTCAGTTGGGTACAATTGCCGAGTTCAGGAGGAACTTGTGATATATTGTTGTTCTGCAGGTCTAGCGTTCCAATCCTTGGTAGTGAGCAAAGACCACCTGCATCGATAGTGTCTACTTTACAGTTATCTATAAACAGTATCTCCAGCTTCTTCAATTCAAAAAGCACCGGAGGGATACTTGTAAATCTGAAATAACACAGAGGTATATACTTGTAAATCTGAAATAACACAGGGGTATATACTGGTAAATCTGAAATAACACAGGGGTATATACTGGTAATCTGTAATAATAACATAGGGGAATATACTGGTATACATTGTATCTGTTATAATAACACAAGGGTATATGCCGGTAATCTGTAATAATAACATAGGGCTATATTCTGGTAAATCTGTTATAATAACACACAGGTATATACTAGTAATCTGTAATAATAACATAGGGGTATATACCGGTAAATCTGTTATAATTACACAAGGGTATATACTGGAAATCTGTAATAATAACATAGGGGTTTATACTGGTAAATCTGTTATAATTACACAAGGGTATAAACTGGTAATCTGTAATAATAACACAGGGGTATATACTGGTAGTCTGTAATAATAACATAGGGGTATATACAAACCACCAGCCAAAATATTATGAATCTATACCTTTCAGTTCTTCAGAAGAAGTCGTTTTTATGTTTTTGACACATTTGACCCCTGTGACCTTGAAAGCAGGTCAAGGTCATTTTCATTCGGTAATCTGTAATAATAACATAGGGGTATATACTGGGAAATCTGTTATAATTACACAAGGGGATATACTGGTAATCTGTAATAATAACATAGGGGTATATACTGGTATACATTGTATCTGTTATAATAACACAAGGGTATATACCGGTAATCTGTAATAATAACATAGGGGTATATTCTGGTAAATCTGTTATAATAACACACAGGTATATACTAGTAATCTGTAATAATAACATAGGGGTATATACTGGTAAATCTGCTATAATAACATAGGGGTATATACTGGTAATCTGTAATAATAACACAGGGGTATATACTGGTAAATCTGTTTTAATAACACAGGGGTATATACTGGTATATACTGGTAAATCTGTTATAACTAGAATTTTGTTTTTGTTCAAGTTTTTGTGAACAAAAACATATGTCTCCTCTTATTAGCCAATAGAAAAACTCCGGTATAAAAAATTAACAAAGGGCCATATAGCTTTATATAGTGGGGCACGAGACCCGAATTAAGAATTTGACACTCCTACTTACCCAAGATACATTAAAACTATAGCAAGTTTGGTCAACGTAGGTGAAACTAGAACACTGACAGGTCAGTAAGGGCCCCGTCTTGTGGCAATATATCCCCCATAGTCATCAAGAAGCAATCTGCCCATATAGCTGAACTTGATGTTTGACATTTGGACTTAAAAAAAATTCGCAAGATAGCAAAATATACATTTTACATGTACTATGATGTGAGTCTTGTTTCCTTCCACTTCCATATTTGCTGGGCTAACAGAAATGTAAATACCGGTGCAATAATCATTTGTTACCTTTGATTTGTTTTATTTCACCTTAAATACTTCCCCCATCAAGAGCCAGGGTCAAAGTGTCACAGAGATCCACTTTGTCTTTGACCTTTGGACCTAAATGACCTTGACCTTTAACCCAGTGACCCTGATCTTTGGTCAGTTGACTCATTCTTCAATTTCGACCAATTTTGCTTCATAATATCATAACAAAATATTCATCAGTGAAAAATACAAAACTAGACCTTGACCTTGAACCTTTGGAACCCCTAACCTTGACCTTTGGTAAGTTGACTCTGTGTTAAGTTCTGAACAACTTTGCTTCATAATAGCATACAAACAAGAGGCCCAATGGGCCTGTATCGCTCACCTGGTATTAATCTCACACTTGTAATCTTAAAAGTGGACTAAAATACAGCTACAGGCAGAATATCAGTGTGACCTTGAATGTCAAACAATGACATTAGTTTGAAAGTGGGTCAATGTCATTCATTTGAACAAATTTGGTAGCCCTGATTGCTACAGGCCAAATATCAGTACCCTGGGCATTTTGGTTATTGAGAAGAAGTTGTTTGAAAATTTTAAGACATTTGACACCTGTGACCATGAAAGCATGCATACCTAAAATTTCATTAAGATATCTTTAACGGTTTAAAAGTTATGGCCCGGACAAGTCAGATTAGAAGAAGAATAAGAAGAAGAATAAGAAGAACCAGTACTAATACAATATGTCTCCATGACAATCTACAATCTACATGATTTATTACTTGTTTATTGAGATAAAAACTAATATACAGTTGTGTGACCGCACAACGCACCAAAAATACTGTGCGCACACCGTGCATACATCGTTCAGTCACATCGTCCGCACATTGTCCACACATAGTGCGCACAACTGTGCGATTTAACAATCGTTCGCCCCGTTGTGCGCTTCTCTCTGCACAACTGTGCGATTTGGTACAATTTGCTGATCAATATTTCGGAATGAAAAAAATACGAAAGGCTCGTATGCAATAATGTACACAGTATATATTACTGTAATTTCTCATCACAATAATTAAGATTATGTACAATTTTACTATGCGTGTAACACAGTATACAGTGACCGTTAGACTGTCAAGAATGGGCTTGGCTCCTCGTAACAGAACAGGTAAATAACAATTTGATGAGTGACCAGAGTTTTACCTGGCCTTTGCCTGACATGTGATACCGTATGACCGTTATGAAAACACAACTGGATGTTAAGTATTTGTTATTTGCATTCGTTTTGGTCTATAGCTCCCCTTCACCTGGCTTTCACACCTTGGCGAGTTATGTAAGCGCCCCGGGTGGGGGAAAACTACAGTCCAGGTACAAAGTGGCTATGTTTACCTGTGTTGCCGAGACTGTGTTGTAATTTTATATGTGTCGATTAAGGTCGACAAACCGAAAACACCATTTCTAAGTTTAAGAAAGTATAGACAAAAAGATAAGCTTATAGATGTAGCATGAATATAGAAACATACTTAAAAAATCAAGTGTATATGTTGAAACACGAAACCGTATATATTGTTAAGCTATTCCTCAATTTACACCAATCACGATTGTTATCGCACAACGTTCGTTGATGGTCCGCACAAATGTGCGCAAGCAATGATCGTCCAATTTTTTATCGTTCACACACCGTGCACACATTGTGCGCACACCGCACATCGTGTAATGTTGTGCGATCCCACAACTGTACATTCTGAATCAAAAAGTCCATCACATAAAATCTGATACTAACAGGCATAAAACTTCGTTCAGAGATTATCATACTATGACGTCACAAGCACGTCACAATCCATCGGCCTTCATCGGTTATTTCAGGAAGGATGAAAAATAACCGGAAACGTCTGGAACTGATGTCTGTTGCATTTATCTCTTTGTCGGCGCTTCAAGATTTTTTTATTCAGTTTTTGTCTCTGGCAAAATGGGGATATTTTCTGGAGATCCTTTTTGTCATCAACCAGGTTCTGTTAATATTTCTACTGGGAGATATATTCAAAAAGAGCCGGCATTAACCCAATAGGTCAACGTGTACATTTATGTTTTCATCATCTAAAGATTTCATCACCTTTTTGATTTCCATTTGTTGAGAATATGAACGAAAAATCTAACATTTTTGAAAGTCTGGTTATAGACTTTACATAATTTATTTATGCATCACCACCCACAAAAGAAACAATGGTTAATGCATTTATGACGAAATTAACAATAATTTTCCAGACAACCAACCTGAGTTCAACACCCTTTTTCAGCAACTTATTACTTTTTCAGAACGCGTGCCGAATTATAACTAGTTACAGACAGAAACTGTTAAATTGTATTTGGCATCGTTACCTGTCAAACCTCGGTGACAGTTACAAAATTTGATATTCAATACGGTGTTTCAGCCGGATGGAACAGTGATTGAGACTACAGATCTCAGTTTCATCAAAGGATTACAATGTTTTCTTTTTTTAATTTAATTTTTTAACTAACATCTCTATACATTTGCTCAGACTAATTGTCAAATATGTAATATGCACTTTTTCTATAGCAATTACCAAACATTTTTTTCCCCAAAATTATCTCGATCATTCTTTTTGTGCCCTGACAGAAGCACGCAGAGGATTTAATTCTTAATGTGAGAGGAAGCTGGAGTATCCGGAGAAAACCGGGTTACCAGCGTGGGTGGGCAGGTGACCAGGATTGAATCTGGCCATCTTGGTGAAGACAAGCACGCTATCCACTGCGCTACCCAACCCATCATATACATTACGCACAAGAACAAATATCTACTTAAGCTTTGACTGGAAGAAAATGGCGTCATTGATGTTAAAAATATATTGTGAATGCATTTTTACCAATCATCAATGATACAAAAATCTACATACGATACACCGGGGCAAGTTCGGCCACCCCTGATATTTTTGTTTTTGAGCTTATATTTACATCTTTAAGGATCTTAGCAGTTTAGTTGGGTTGGCATTGAACGAAAAAAATGGCCAGGAAAACTCTAATGTAAAATCACTTAACAGGAGAAAAATACTTTTGAGAGGGTAGAAAGAAAATCATGATCTCACTTCTAGTTATGCGAACTTTTTGAAACAGAATTGCTACATTTTTTTACAGTCAAACGTGTAACACACTGACATCTTCAAATGATAATACATAAAAGCCAAGCCAATCACTCACTACCAAATTGATGCACACGAATTTTATTGAAATATCAATTTGGGCCTGAAAAGGTTCGGCCAATAATAATACCGTGGCAAGTTCGGCCCATGTAGTTTTAAAACACATAAAATGTCGTAAAATTGGCAGTAAAATCTAATGTTGCATGATTAATGACGTCATAATAAAGCTGATCCAATGGGGGCCGATCTTACCCGAATGCCTGTCCGAACTTACCCCATGGCTTGGGCTCGTTCGGCCATCCAAAGCTAAATAATGTTCAAAAACGGACGTGCTGCCATACTTCCTAGAACGGACTTTAATAAAAAAAAAAAAAAAGGGGGGCTGAACTTGCCCCAGTCTCCCCTATTGTTATGTCGGTCTTAATCTCATTAGAGCTTGTGTTTTATTGTTATTCCTCGACTTGTTTACTTGTAAAACCTTAATAATACAGGGGAGATTCTGGTAAATCTGTAATAACATGGGTATATACTGGGTAATTTGTAATAACACACAGGTATATACTGGTAATTCTGTAATAACACACAGGTATATACTGGTATTTCTGTAATAACACAGAGGTGTGGAGGGGGGTGGGGGTTACTGGTAAATATGTAACATGAGGCCCAGAGGGCCTGTATCACTCACCTGAATATTTAAGCAGTCATAGCAAACATTCTAATTAAATATCATATTGTACTACAAATTTGTCACTCGCAAACTTTGTCGGCTCCATCTGTTGAAACAGTCAAACATTATTATAAGATTGTATGCTTTTTGGCCATTGTTCTTCTTCAAATATTAAAATTTTATGCATTCGATTTTCCGAAGTCGCTCGATGTTTTTGACATATTTGACACCTGTGACCTTGAAGAAGGTAGATTCTATACCATTTGGTTCTTCAGTAGAAGGCGTTTAAAGAGTTTGACATATTTGACCCCTGAGACCTTGAAAGTAGGTCAAGGTCATTTTCATTCTCAAACTTTGTCGGGCTCTTTCCCAGGAAGCCACCAGCCAAATATGAAGGTTATATACTTTTTAGTTCTTCAGAAAAAGTCGTTTGAAGCAATTGACATATTTGACCCCTATGACTTTGAAAGGAGGTCAAGGTCATTTTCATTCGCAAACTTTGTCAGGCTCTATCCCAGGAATCCATCAGCCAAATATAAATATTCTATACCTTTTGGTTCTTCAGGAGAAGTCGTTTGAAGCGTTTGACATATTTGACCCCTGTGACCTTGAAAGCAGGTCAAGGTCATTTTCATTCGCAAACTTTGTCAGGCTCTATCCCAGAAACCCACCAGGCAAATATAAAGATTTGACCGCTGTGACTAGCATTTAAAGTTGAAAGTTGGTCAAGGTCATTTTAATGAGGAAACTTTATAGCACTCCATCGCAGGTACATACATGTACTGGCCAAATATCATGACCTTGGGCCTTATGGAACTTGAGAAGAAGATTGTTAAAGCTTTTAACCAAAGTCGATAATTTGACCCCCGTCTAGCATTTAAAGTTGACCTTTGACCTCATAACTGTAATTGAAAAAAATATTCGCACTGCTGGTCTACATAACATATCCAAGTATCATGACTAGTTCAAATGGTTCTTAGGATATTGTTGTTTGAAATTTTTCACATATTTGACCTTGAAGGTAGGTCAAGGTCATTTTAATGAGGAAACTTTATAGCACTCCATCCAAGGTACCTATTGGCCAAATATCATGTTTAGGCACAACGCACAACGAACGACAACGGACAGAAAGCAATCAGAATAGATCACTTGAGCATAGCTCTGGTGACCTAACAAGAGGCCCAATGGGCCTGCATAGCTCATCTGATATAAATCTAGCACATGTAACCTTAACAGCGATCTAAAATAAACCTACAGTCAAAATATCAGTATGTATGACTATAAGTCATTCAAAAAAACCTGTTGCAAGCTAAGATTTTAAAACATTTCACCCCCGTGACCTTGAAAGTCAAACAAGGTCATTATGTTGAACAAATTTTATAGTCCTTCATCTCAGCATGCAATTTGCAAAATATCATCACCTTAGACCTTTTTTATTTTGAGATTAGGTCATTAAAATGTTTATACATATTTGACCAAAAGTGACTATTTGAACAAACATAGTAGCCCTTCATCCCAGTGTGCTTCTGGCCAAATATCATCACCCTAGGCCTTTTGGTTATTAAGAAGTTGTTTAAAGTAAAATATTGACGCCGGACGCCGCGCCACAGCATAAGCTCACCTTGCCTAGGCCTCAGTTAATACTAAATTGAGTCTTGTTACCTTAAGGATGCTCAAGACTACAATTGGTTTTACCATTTGGTCAAAATCTACTGAGCTGTTCAGGCCTAGTAGTGTTTTAAAGGAAAAAGGTGACGGACGATGGAGGCTGTGCCATGGCATAAGCTCACTTGGCCCTTCGGGCTAGGTGAGCTAATAATGGCACATTACTTTCACACAGGCAGACTTCTAAAATTATGATCAAATTCACATTTTTCTTTAAGCCGAAATGTTCCTTTCACACTCACAATAATGAAGAAAATTTAAAAATTGTGAAAAAGGTTCAAAGTTTATGTTCTGTAGGCCTGAAGTCTAACTTACCTATTATAATAACCACATATCTTTCATCTAGAAAATTCCATATCAACAATTACTATAAGACAACTATATATATTATATCTCTCATCTAGAAATTCAATATCAACTTACCTATTGCAGGACAAGAAGATATCTCTCATGTTTTCCAGAGATTCCATATCGGCAGGCAGCGCTGATAAAGAATTGTTCCTGATAAAAAAACAAATGTGAGAATGTAACAGTACTTATAATCAGTAAATGAAGTAGAAAGACAATTTTATCTCCCCAATCAGACACAGATACACTCCCTGTAAGGGAAAGATTTTTATTTCTTACCCTAGGGTAACGACAGAGGATTCCCTGTCATAATTTTATAGATTTGCTGAAAAAGCATGCAATTAACACTTGCTTTTTGTAAATACAATGATCTGTTTGTAATTGTTGGAGAAAAAATAGTTTCTCAATTTAAGTGAGAGTTAGAAAAAAGTCTAAACCATGGGTTGAGATTTGTCTGTGTTATCTCCAAGGTTGGGAAAGATTCTATCATTCTCTTACCCTCCTGTATGAAAAAGTGGACACAGACTAGACCAGGAATACGCATGGAAATTTCATAAAAATCTAGGTGGATATTTTAGTGCCTAGAAAATGTATTGTTGTTTTCCATATGGATTCTACTGTATCCGCCTGGAATTGAATGAAATACGCCTGGGAAACGGGCAGGTAATATTTAAATGAATCCGGACGGATTTTCAATATTTGGAAAATCCATATGGAAAAAAATCTGGGTGGATTTAAAAAATCCATGTCCCTGTGACAGCAGGATTCCGTGTCTATAAAAAATCCTGGCCCGTTAAAAAATTCAAGGTGGAAGATCCATCTGAAAAAAAGTATGGGTGGACTAACAAAAAAAAAAAGCCCTGCGAAAGCAGAATTCTGTGTATAAGAAAATCCTGGCAGGTAAACATCCCGGTGGATTTTGATTCCTCCTGGAAAAGTGGCACATAATATTTTAGATGATACCAATTATAGGAAATCCACCTGGAGAAAAGTAGGTCTAGAAAATTAATGTAGAAAACAATGTATCTTTTACTAAAATAAAACAAACTCTAATTTTCAAGTTTTGCTACATCAGTTTTTATAATTTTCTGACTCTCAAAAAATTTCAAAAGTTCATTCAGTTTCATTCCATTTTTCTAATTTTCTTCATTTATTTTTTGAGATAGTATAGAGAAGGTTTTTTTATAATTAATTTCTATTATTTCATTTACGATATTATCAATACTTTTACTAAAAATGTACTGTTTTGACATCAGTTCTATTGTAACAGCATTTTGTATAAATTATTTGGTTTTCACATAGATGAAGGCCATCGGTCGGTCGCTCATCACTTTAGCACACTGATTCATCAAATTCTGTTTTTGGTTATAAATTACTGTCATTAATAGAGTCCTGGAGTAGGTTAACTTTCCGCTCTCTGTATTTTTATTAGTTTCATGGAATAGCTGATCCTTTCTGTCATTGTACAATTCATATCCTGGTCGGTAAGCAATGCCACTTTCTTTTGTTTGTTGTTTTTTTGAAAAGTTCCACTGTCACATGTAATCTGGAATGGAAAAAATAACGACTTTTTGTAACAAAATTGTTTTTCTGATAGAATGAGTTTGATAAAATTTACAATTAACACTTTTTTTCAGCATAAGTATTAACAGGTACACATCTTTTTCAGTGGTATACAGCATTTTACTCAGTTTCATTTAAAAATGTTCTGAATATATATTTGGCTGCTTTTGAGTTTGACCATAAATTACATGTGTATTTGTCTATACAGGAGGTGAAGTCGTCCTGAAAATTCCAATATTAGAAGTCTAAATAATGAAGCCTGATTTTAAACAGTGTCGCTGAGATATTACAATCAAGGCAATTATTTGAAATGACTGTTTGTTGGTTGACAACAAATTTCATTTAAAATGACTTTAAAGAAGACAAACTTTAGTAAGTTCTCAAATTGATAATTGAAGGTTCTCTGCAATATTTTCTTTGGTTTTTAATATCATCCATACCAACCTTTCAGTTTGAAGCAGCATACTTACTCAGGTTACATTGATGTGACACCAATATGTAGTATTCACTTCTCTGAATGCTGGATTGAACCCTAATTTGAATTGAAAAAAAGTATAATTTTCATATAAATATTTGGTGTGTTCTCCTTTCTCCCACTTTTTAAACAAGAGGTCCATGGGCCTTAACAGTCACCTGATATATTTATACAGAGAGTTGATTTTGTTTTTAACACGAACAGAAATATTATTCAAAGTGACAAAAAAACAATAAAACCACCTTATTCAATATCTAGCATACAGATTTAAGACTAAAAAGTATTTGAAATTAGCACCTCTGATTCTAAAAAAGGAAAATGAAGAAATTTTAGCACACTGACTCCTTTGGGCCCCACCCTACAGCCCTTGACGGTAGGGCTGGCCCAAAATTTTCAAAGTATCAAACTGTAAACTCAGGGTTATANCCCCCCCCCTCCTTCCCCTGGGGGTAAACGTGAGACCCCAGGGTCACAAACCTTTAGACCCTTCCATCTATGAAGAGTGTTTGATTCAACCATATCTGGGTCTTTGAGAAGAAGATTTTTGAAATTTCAGTCAATTCAACCCTTTTTGGCCCCAAATGTGATTTCCCTATATATATAAACTATAGTAAAGTTTACCCCCTCCCCAGGAGGAAACGTGAGACCCAAGGGTCATAAAATTCACAATTTTGGTAAAGCACCTTAAGACCCTTCCATCTATGAAGAGTATTTGATTCTACCATATCCTGGTCTTGAGAAGAAGATTTTTTAAATTTCAGTCAATTCAACCCTTTTTGGCCCCAAATGTGATTTCCCTATATAAACTATAGTAAAGTTTACCCAGGGGGAAACATGAGACCCCAGGGTCAGGAAATTCACAATTTTTGTAAAGCACCTTAAGACCATTCCAAGAGTATTTGATTCCACCATATCTGGGTCAATTTGACTCTTTTTGGCCCCGCCCCTCAGGCCCCTGGGGGCTTGGGACCAAACCGGCCACTTCTTTTGTTGACCTTTGGCCATGGAAGGTTTCTGCAAAATTTTATTGAAATTGGTTTCGGGGTTTTGGAGAAGAAGTCGAAAATGTAAATTGTTTACAGACGCACGACGGACGCCACCGGACAAAAGGCTATTGCAATATATATATAGGTCACTTGAGACTTTGTCTCAGGTGACCTAAAAAAACATAGAGGCAGTAATGTTGTGATAGCAGTTATAGTCTGTTTCATATATATTTTACCTGGTTTTTACCTGTGTTCTCCCACATTATCTGTATCATGTATACAGTACTGTCATCTACATGTAGCTTTGATAGTCTATTTTCATCATTTTTAGACATTTTTTTCATATCATATACCATTTTCATCAGCTAGATCATACAAAACAGTAACGTGAAATCCACAAATATTTTATATATTTTATATTCTTAATAATATATATATAGATAATAATGCTATGATTTTTTTTTTTTTTTTAAATTTAAATTTAAATTTATTTAATTTAGGGTGAAGCAAATTCATATTGGAGCATTATTTTCAGAGAATCTTTTTTACCAATAAATACGTCTTCAGTGTAATTATTAATAACTTAGTATCACTCATTAGATTATTTTCCCCTAAAACATAATCATTGGTTATGTTTCTATTTGATAACCCCATATGGCTTGGGTCCACTGATATTTCTAGTTGATAATACTGAATATTAACACCTGACGCCGACACTCTCTTCTGTGATGGAACGTTTTACATGTGCCCGACTCAGTTTCAGCAGATCTACACCGTCCACGCCAGGATTGGAGACCAGATGTACCCATTTGTATACAGTCTACTTCTCAGCAAGAGCCAGGCAACATACCAAAGATTCTTTACACTACTCAAGACCAAGATTCAACCTCCAACTCAATCCCACCACCGTTTTCCTGGACTTTGAGGCTGCTGTCCAAACGCCTTCTGCGCAGGGTTTCCAGCTGTGAGTTTGAAGGGCTGCTTCTCCAATAAACACAGTGTATTTGGAGGAAAGTCCTGCAGACCGGACTTCAACAACTCTACCCCTTCAACGACGATGTCCGACAATTTGTATGGCGTGCCGCTGTACTACCCCTTGTTCCGTTAGACCATGTAGAAGATATCTGGTTCAATGCGCTGGAGGACATAGACGATGCTGATGTTCCACAGGACACCACTCCATTTACAGATTATGTTGTGACACAGTGGATTGACCGAGATTAACAGCTCTGGAACCACTTTGAGACCGAGGGACCCAGAACAACCAACCACATAGAGGGATGGCACAGAAAACTGAAGAAGAAAGTGGAACACGCCCACTCGAACATCTACAGCATCATCCGCGTCTTCCAGGAAATACAAGCCAGCAACGAGATAACGCGCATCCAACACGCAGCAAGAGGACAACTCAGACCAAGAGCAAAAAGCTACCGTAACATCGACAGCCACCTTAACCAACTAAAGGAACGCTTGGAGAATGGTACAACAGATGTAATCCAGTACGCCGACACAGCATTCAATCTTTTGCATTTAGAGTGACATTGTGATAAATGTGCTTGTTATGGAATTTTTATTTGGTGCTTTGCTAGGATTTCTTAAGATTATGGACTTATCTGTGTTTTTTATTGACTTTCCAATATTTCACCTTTAGTAAGTTAGTGCTATTATATTAGTTTTATATCATGTATCTTTGTGCATGTGTGTATTTTAAGAATATGATTGATTTGATCAACCAGCGCTGAGTATTCCATGTGTACATGTAATTAATTCGTTTTATTTATTTTCATTCCCAGCTTTGCATCTGTTTTTGCATATTTAATAATGTAATACATGATCTCAGTCTTTACTGATTATATTTGTCATAAATTGCTTGCTAAATTTAGTTTTGTTTTATGAAATACATGTAAATGTATAGTAAAAATGTATAAAATTGATTTAATATGAAATTGATAAAAGCAGGTTTTCAGTTAATGTATTTTGATGTGTAATAACTGGAATATTGTATATATTTATTTATAATTCCAGTAAATATTACGAAAAATCAGGAAATATATTTGTTAAATATTCCTATAACTAACACAGTATTTCCTATTGGTGAACAGGTAAATACAGGTAAATAATCTACCTGT